ATTGAGAAGAATATTTTTCGTTCAGATTGACTTATGTGCGTCGGTGGCACAGCGGTTAAGACGCTCGCTTACCATGCACATGGTCCGGGATTCGATCAGCTGCCAACGCACTTCTTTACCTCGCTAAACCAGTAATAAGACTGGTAAAAAGGAAAGGTTGGGCATGAGGCTAGCAACCCTATTCTGTAAAATTAAACACCACTGCTACAGAAACTTCAAGCCACTAGCTTGAGGCCGTTGTGTTCCTCTGGGAACGTGAAGGAAATAAGTATAACATTGACTTTTAACTCATGATATGGGAATATTTCACACGATTAAATTTAGAAAGGCGGTTCCTAAGGATTTCTGCTACGATGTCACCTTTGAATTCCAGGTTCATTAAGGGGTTTTTGTTAGGAACTGTTGCGATTTCAGGCAGTGGAGGCATTTCTTTCATGTTTTTTGTCAGTAAATCTCGATGAATTTCCTAACAGATTGTATAAAGTCACTTTATCAATGTGCCACTAGTTTCTATCCACTCTACACGATTACACTGAATAGTCATTTTCTCACACTTATGACGTCGTCCCAACATCTGCCCATCACTCTTTCCAATTTTCAATTAGTTGTTGACGTCTAGATTACATCTTACGCTATATGATCAAATGTCTAAGACAAATGTTACCGGTATCTGATTGATTGTATGAACTCTTTGTTAAATATAAGTGCTGTATAGTACACCTGATTATGAAAATGAATCATTGAGGATAAAATTTTCTTCACTGTTTACGTCATCTTTTTGTAATGACTGAATACCGGAATATTACGTTCATTAACTGAAAGAATGTCACTTTTTTATTGGTTGCCAGATTTCATGAACTGACATTATTTGGAGAACCATTGAAAAAGTAGTTGGTAGCAGTTAACAGCAGTTTGACTATGAGGATAGATAGTCGCCAGCAATGACTTTGGCTAGTATCAGTCTTGCTATATAGTGAATTGGCAGAAGTAAGAATTCATCGGTTGGCTTTTTTCGAGCGTTCCAGTGATTTAATGATCTGCTTGCTGACTAGCAATGCAACTGGAAGATGTTGGATTCGAACCCTGATGAAGAGTGGCAAACTAGGCTGACGGAGCAACTGCTGTCCAGTTCTCCCAACTGGTTTTTCAAAGGTTCTGCGATAGATTTCAGTTCGTTATAAAATCCTCTAACCAATCGAATCAAATGAAATCCATGCAAACCAACACTTGAATATTTCTTTTTAATGCAATTTTGATATTGCCGTTGTTTGATTAGATTGAAATGTTCGATCCCTGTTGACATGTCAACTCTTAGGACCGACCTTTTGACGATATTTTGAGATTATTATTATTTCCTTTAATTCCTAGAGGAACATATGGCTTCAGCCGCGCGTCTCCATTGCGTTCGGTTTTCTGCTAGAGTTTTCACCTGGCTGCAAGTCTACAACTCACATGCTTTCATCTCCTCTTCACATGACTTCCTGGAAGTCACCCTCACACTGACGACAAAGTCGCCGCTCCCCTTTCCGGTTCCACTCGAGCGGTGGCTTGTCTAGTGATGTCACTCACTTTATGGTTTCCTCAGAGTATGGCCAATCCATCTCCATTTCTTCCTGCCTAATTGTTTCACAATCGGTTCCTGTTTGGTTGGTTTGCCCCAAAGATCCTTATTGTTGACCTTTTCTGGTCAGCCATCTGATCTTGAGTGAAGTATTGAGTGAAGACAGCTATTGATGAAGGTCTTTAGTTTGTTTGAGATGCTCTTTATGACGCGCCAAGTCTCTGATCCGTATAGTAGCACTGACTTCACACTGAAGTTGAGAATCCGGATCTTATATTCGTTTTCATGCTGAGTGTTGTTGACCTCCACACAGACTTGAGAGTAATAAAAGCTTGTCTTGCTTTTCCGATCCTCACTTTGATATCCTCGTCAGTTCCGAGTGCCTGTAGTTGAAACGATGCTTCCCAGGTAGGTAAAGGAGGTTGTTTCTTTTAGTTTCTTCCCATTTATGCTGATTGTTGTCTTTTGTTGTTGTTGGTGTTGGCCAGGAATCTTCATCACCTCTGTCTTCTCTACGTTCACGTGAGTTCCTATCTTTGATGCTTCTTCTATCGCCAACTTGTTGTTTTTCACTTGGATGTCTCCCAGTTTGTGGGAAATCAGACATATATCATCGGCGAAGTCCAGATCCTCCAAGCTTTTTGTGTGAGTCCATTTTATGCCTGTTTCCTCATTACTCGCTGTTATTTCGAGATTGATTTGATGTAATTTGCGTGATGGTGACTAGTAGTGGGATCCAGGTTACACGTCAGTGAGTCGGTGGCTCAGTGGTTAGGACTCTCGCCGACCATGCACATAGTCCGAAGTTCTATCTCTCACCGACGCACACCTAATATCTTTTGTTGGCCTGCAAAATTTGGGCTACCGATATCACATACTGAAAATTCCATACGTGTACCGAAAATACGTTATGGAATCAAGCTGTTACCAAAAATAGAAAAAAACTTTTGTTCTACGTGGGGGTCACCAGGCATGCCTACAGAGGTCGAACATTCTGTTCGAATCAGTAAACGGGTAAATGAAAATTGAGCTAAAAACAAAAATTAACTGATGCCTATTGCACGAGAGTTGAACTTCATGGCTCTATTGTTGTTATGTTCTCGTCGCTGAATTATTATTATGGTCTGGTCGAGAAACTAATAGTCCTGACGCGAGAATGCGGAAATCAGAAGACCACTAGGTTTGCGATGATACTTCTATTGTCCAAACACAAGGAGACGAAAATAAATGGTCTCACACCAAAGTGGTCAGTAAGTAAAGTAGTTCACACAAATTGTGTGAACGAAATATATATATAGCAAAATATATAGCAGACATGTCAACAACAACCATATATGGATATATGTCACTAAGCAACGGACTGTCAACAAACACTCATATTATATATAATATAAATGGAATATACATTGTTAAAGGAGACAGGTTCATACAAGTGAAATGGTCACAGACTAAGCGAGCAAACAGAAACAGAGACCAACATACACACACACATAAATATATATATGTGGATACATATCAGTTGTCCTAGTGGATAATGCTTTGGCGTTTGAAACGATAGGTACTGGGATCAGGACTCTGTGGAATAACCGTCACTCGCTAGAGGATGCAGGTAGGTCCAACTGATGGGTCTCAAATAGGACAAAGTGCGCATTCTGAAGGATGCCACTGCTCATCACCACTCACTGCATTAAGTGACAGAAAAGTTGCATGGATGTCGAAGCTAACCGTAGGGAGGAGTTTTACCTCTGGTAGATGATTTTGATTTGAAGGTGTTCTTTGAGCTAGGTGGTTGATTTAGAAGGCAAAGACTTCATCGTCCTTCTAGACAATACTACTTCACAAGAATTCATCGTTTTTATTGACTTAGAATTTGAACTTTTTTGTCATGTCGTTTGTTCTTCCTTATTATTTGGGAAATTCGATTCATAGTAATAATATGCCTGTTAATCTCTAATTCATCTGAATACCAGGCCTCTGGAAAATTTCTGATATCTTTTGCGTTGTCACTGTTTATAAAGTTCTACGTTTTCCCAGTCAGTTTGCTCTCCTCAGTTGTCTACATGTAGTGGTGTTAGGGGAGGTGAGTTGATATTGCCTGGAGATTCCTTCAAACACGGTTGACAGTGTCAGTAAGAGAAATGTTTTTCGCCATTATTGTACAAATAACTTACTATAATGCTAATATCCTATTCCATGTGCATTTATATATTCACCTGCTTTTGCGGAGCTAAGTACATACAGCATTTATGCAGAGACGTATCCCACACCACTTTGAACAGCAAGGGATAGCACAGAGTACATGAAATCATTTATACCGCAACATACAGTAGTAGATAGTGACCACTCAGCTTCTGATGAATCCTTCAGTATCATCGAGAAGGTCCGACAAAATCTGCAAACTGCTTTGCATAATGAAATTCAAGTGAATGTAGAGAAACCAACAACAACAACAGCATCGTCTGGACTACAGGCAACACAGAGATGAGGGCGTCAAAGACAGTATTAGAAAAGCAAGGCAAATTTTCATTGCGGCATTCATTGTAAAAGACAAAATTCGGATTTTCAACACAAATATAAAATCAATGTTTCTACATGATTCAAAGATTTGGCGTGTGCGCGTGTGTCAACGAAAGCATTTCCAACAAACTGTCGCACACTCTCATCAATTTTTGGCTTTGCCGGCTCGATAGTGAAGATCACATGGCCTGTCAAGGAGGATAAGTCTGTCAACAGACTAACCAAGAACCTATCGCCTAGAAAATATGCTGAAGGAGATAGAAATGTATTAGACATGCGCTGTGAAGATGGCTGAGGAACATCACACACTGGGCTGGTGATTTGCTCATCCGAGGGATATATGTAAGAGATCGTTTGAAGAGGAATCGAAAGCTTCTGGATGACCGTGGATCCGGCTAATAAAGACTGTGGAGAAGACAGTGAAAATGACAACTTTTAATTTAATTTTTGGTTATAGCTTGATTCCACACTGTATTTTTGGTACAAGTATGAAATTTTCAGCATGGATATCGATAGCCCAAATTTTGCAGGCCGACCATTGATATCAGGTGTGCGTCAGCCGGGGATCGGACCTCGGACCATGTGCACGGCCAGCGACAGTCCTAACCACTGTGCCACCGACGCACAGAATCCATGAGAATAATAATAATAATAATAATGATACTGTAGACCTCATACAGTGGCTAAATATTAGAATGTGAACACACTGCTTCTGGAATCAGTATACACCTTTCATGTGACTATGCGTCAGATGATAATGATCAGAGTCAAGCAAACTAATAGATAAGAAAACTCGTTCTACCCGGATATTCTTCAGTATAAAAGGAATTAACTGAAAACTCCAGAAAGGAAGTTTTCATACATTATAGATTACACTGACAGCTGAAATACCAAAGAATATATGTACAAAAGTTCCACTTACTACAAATGCAGAATTATCCGTTGATGATGGATCTACAATGTCGTCGCCTTCTGACATTTGATGATGCATTTATCATCTAACTATAAGTGTTAAAAATAAAACTTAAATGAATAAGCCTAACTGATTCTGTGAGCATAGCTTATCGATTAACGTGGTAATTAAGGTCAAGGTTAGTAGAAGAAGAGGTTATTTTAGTAACTCGTGACTATCTCTCTCTCTCTCTCTCTGAAAATTGAAGATTTGAAAGGGTTGTTAATTTTATGAAACTTAAATAATGATGACAACCCATCGTTTGATCTAAGTGAATAACCTCAGAAAATTTGATAGATAGCCAGCCTCATGTCGGTTTTTGAGCAGATCTCCCGAGACTAAAATATATTCTTGGCTGACAGATTTGTGAAGATATTATTGAATTCAAAGAGGATTTCGTGACAAAATGAAATCAGTTGAGGAATCACTACAAACTAGGAAGCACTTGACAACTTCTTCATCTTGGTTTGGAGCTTTTCAGTAGCACTCAACCATGATGTGACCACAAGCGGAATAAGGAGCTTCAGGTTGTGAGAGGAAAACTTTAACTATCAGTCATAGGGTCAGAATCTGATGACTCATGACTTCTAGCTACTGTTAATTCTCATTTGAGTATCATCTCTATCGACTGCTAATGAAATCTATTATTATTATTGCTATTATTATCATTACAATTCTTTCGGATTTCGATGGGAACATAGGACTACAACAGCGTTTCTCTATATTGCTCTATCTTTTGAAGTCCTCTTCAACTGACCTCCCTAAAAGCATTCATTTCCTACTCACGAAATCTCCTCCATATCATCGTTGAAATGATGCCCAACTCGTCGTCTCCAATTCAACTTCCACACGAGGGTCTGACGCTTTGATGTCACCTACTAACGTCCTCCTACTTGGGGTGTGTTCCATTCACATCCATTTTCTTGTGCATATTTGTTGAGTAGTTGGTTCTTAGTTGGCTTGTTCCATGAAGTTTCTTGTTACTGACTCATTCTGACCCATCATATGACCTTCTGTATGGAGCAATTGAAGTCAGATGTCGATATGAGTCTGCGACAGGCTGTTGGAAGTCCTTATCGCGACACTCTTGCCAAGTTTCTGGCCCATATATATATAGAACATATTAACATTTGTGCTGAGGATCCAAATTTTTTTTGTTTGTGCTGTGGAGTGCAGAAGATTTGCGAACTGATTTCAGAGTGATGAAGGCGTCTGGCATACCTTTCCGTCTTCCTGTGTAATTAGTTACAAATAACAAAAAAAAATCAAGTGTTTATTGATCATGAATCTGGAAAATATTTCGAGAATTTTTGTGAGTGAACTAAATAGCATAAATAATAGCGGACCAGCAAAATGTAAGGAAAAACGACTACGCAATACAATACGAATAAAAAGTCAATCTAAACGAAGAATATTCGTTTTTCAATAATTTCTCCTCTTCAGGTTCTTACAATTATAAAACAATTATAATATTTGTTGTCATTACAATATCGATGGCCAGTTAGTTATGCGACGGATACAATTTTCACGCAGAATAACAGATTAGTAGTTATGGCGTGTCAAAATAAATAGTCGTATTTGTGTGTGAGACAAACGTTCTCTGGGCTGAAATCGATTACAAAATATTGTGAAATGCGAGACAATGATGATGGTGATTAGTCGTCATAATAGATTTGTAGAGTGTGAGATAGGAAAACAATTGACAAGTAAGTCAGTTCAAGGTTATAAAAGGTGTCAGGTGAGTGAGTGAGTAAGTGGCTAGTACAGAGTGGTCTGTGTTAAACAGGAGGAGATAGTAAGACTGTAATGAGAGGTGGTTCGTAATGAAAAAAACAATGTATGGAATGAAACAGGTGGAGGCGTATGTTGAGAAAAGAGATAATATCACTACTACTAATAAGTGGGGATAGTATAAATGGAAAATTCGATAGTATTGAGAGAATGTTTGCATGAATGGTATAAATTATGGCGAATAATAATAATTGTAATAACAATATTATTTGTAATAATAAGCAAGGAAACAAACCAAGAGGGTTAATGGGAAGGAGCACTCTTGGTGAGAAGAAGAATTATCAACCCAAGTTTGGCCACGGTAGGAGCAGCATCTGGACATGTTCTTTTGGATACAAAGTTCATGCATGTACCATTTGAAATGTTCTTGAGCTTCAAGCCATATAGGGCGCACTATCGGACAGGTTCGTCTACGGGTTCGAGAACATTTACCAGCTTGGATCAGTAGGAGGGAAGTTAGGTGTATATAAAGCTCGATCCTGTCACACTTGGTCGATACTGAACATGGCATCGACGTCAACACAGCTTTCAGGGTTATATACTGAATTCCAAAGTCATTATCATATACAGTTCGCTTACGTCTGCTACACATAGCTGAAGCTGTTGCAATAAGAACGACTAAACTGGAACTATGAATCCATAAGGCACATGTTCAGAGATTGTTTCTACTGTGGTCAAACTTAGAATAAAGTTTCTTCTTCTCACCAACAGTGCCTCTTCCCCTCATCAATCTTGGGTTTTTTTCTTTCTTTGCTTATTATTACAAATATTATCATTACAATTATTTTTATTCGTCATAATTTATGCCCTTCATGCAAACATTCTCTCAATACCATCGAATTTTCCATTTATACTATCCGAACTTGTGATCAGTGATATTATCTATTTTCTCAGTATATGCCTCCACCTGTTTCATTTCACACATTCGTTATTTAATTGTAAACTTCTCATTGAAGTCCTACTATCTCCTCCTGTTTAACACAGACCACTCTGTACTAGCCACTCACTCACTCACCTGACAGCTTATATAACCTTGAACTGACTTACTTGTCAATTGTATTCCTATCCCACACTCTACAAATCTATTATGACGACTAATCACCAGCATCATTGTCTCGCATTTCACAATATTTTGTAATCGAAAATAACTAAATACATAAGTAGGTGTTAAGTGAGAATATTGTTATTAGGGTAGACGAAGATTAATTACTGTTTCTTTCTGCGTAGAGAAGCTTCCATTGAGTTGTTTGACGGCGATAGATTCAGCGAATCGAAGGAAACCTGGGAGTACTGGACAGCAGTTTTCTCATCAGCCTGGTCTGGCACTCTTCAGCATTACGCACCCAGCATCATGGTTTGAACCCTTCCAGTAACAAGGCTAGTTAGTTCATAGATCATTAAATTACTGCCACCCGATTCAATGGCCAGACGATGAATTCCAACTCGTGCCAAATCACGACCTAGGGCGACTGGCGCTAGCCGATGTCTTTACTCACGAGTATCTTTCCTCATACCTGCTCTGCTGTACCCCAGTGGTCAGGACTTGTCAGTAGCACACAGTAACGAAGTACTTCAAGGTTAGTCAGTATTAATTTACTCAAAAAGCACTATTTTATCAAAATATAATGAAAATTAATAACATTGTGAATGAGCCTTCCATACTTCTAGAGTAACCCATAATGATAATAATAATAATCTGATTTATCGATCATCTGGTTCTATTTTAGTAAACAAATTGAAATCAACTCAGATATAGAAGCAGATCTAAACATAAACATCAAGATACACACTATTTGCACATTCCATTTTATTTTTCCACACAACCTCCACTTATATGGTGTGATGTCGATGAATTTGTGATCTATGCAGAATATCACCCCACCAATTTATAGTAAACTGAGTACCACGTAACATCGGAGGAAAAAGATAATCACGTCAGGAATACTGTGCGTCTCGCGTGAGAATTTCATGGTTGGCAAATCCTGTCCATTTCAACTGAATAGATATTTGGATGAGTAGTTAGTTATCCAGAGAAACTGATGTTAGATTAGTACGAGACATGTAGACGAGCAATACTCTTTTCAATTACATCTTCTTCAAGCTTGACTCTAGTCTAGCTAGTTTTATATATAGAAAAGTAATAGATAATATGAACTCTTCTTTTCGTCATGTTGATGAGGTGTTAATTACTCTTGTTGAGAAGGCTGACAAGAATGAAATGTTGATGAGGTCGAATGATGCACATCCATCTGTGATCTTCACTTGTGAGGAAGAACATGATGACAGACTACACTTGTTTGATGTTTGACTAACTAGGAGAGAGGGTGATTCACTCGAGAGAGATGTCGATATAAGGTCTACATGTGTAGGATAAGGTGTACATTTCTTCGGTTTCGTGTCAATCCGATACGAAATCAATTTGGTGAGACGCTTCAAGAATAGAATGAGACGGATCTACACCGATGACTCCTTTGAAAATGAAATCGAATAAATGGAAAATATGCTTGTCCAAATCGGTTCTCCTGGTATGCTTGTGAGGAGACACATTAATCGACAAGGGCGAATAAAATCTTGTTTTCAACATTGTGATTTTCATGGCTGCACATTAGTGTTCATATATATATCTTATTGATTTACAACAAAAATAGTAGTAAGTTTTATTTGTGTGTGTGTGCGTTAAATTTTGACAGAGGGTTTGCGAGACTATTGGTGTACTGGATTACAAGTCACACTTGATTAGAGATATATAAATCAATAATCAAAATAAATAAATAAACAGAGATCAACCTAAGGTTCATTAGATAAGGGTGAAATAGATAATGGGAAAATAAAGTACATTCGGATATGTGAATAGGTGAATATAATAAGATGGGGACACGAAATGGATGGATGAGTGAAATGTTATCAAAGTAGTAGACTAGATAAAGTGTTACAATATGATAACATAAAGTGAAATGATACAAAACAGAACAAAAATGGAATACGGAATAAAAAAATCAAGATCATGGGGTCATAACGAAAGAGGTTGTACAAATTGTTTTTCTACACAAACTTCTGGCTTTATGTTATGCATTGCTAAAGCCTTTGCTGTACAAACCAAATGCACTAGTGTGCTCCCTTTCGGCCAACATTATCGAACTTTGTAGACTATATTGAACGATGTTTCAGATGCTGCGTGGTGGTCAGTATCCACAATATATTGCAATATCGTTGAAAGAATACCTCTACGTTCTCCTTTGCTCAGAAAAACTGTGAGGTGCTCTTGAACGTGGC